GCGTTATCCTGGCTCCGTCTCCCTTCTGTAACCGCCGCTCCACAACAGACCCCATAGGAAATGAGGGGAAGGATGAAACACATCAAGGTGGCCAAGCCACTGTTGAAGAACATGATGTATTCCAGTGCATCAGTGTCAGTGCAAGCCAACTTGATGATCTGAGTGACATCACAGAAAAAAATATTCAGTTCATTGGGCCCACAGAATGGCAGGGGGAAAATAAGAATTACCTGGATGATAGAATGCATGAATCCTATACACCAGGACGTCAGGACCAAAATTTAGCACACCACTTTGCTGATGAGGCTGGTGTAGTGCAAAGGGTGACAAATGGCCACATAGTGATCAGTGGCCATGCCAACGAGAAGGATAGCCTCAGAGCCCCCTAAAAAATGAAGAAAGAAGATCTGGAGGATGCAGCTCTTATAGGAGATAGTCTTGTGGCTGGAGAAGAAGTCAGCCAGCATCTTGGGAGGGGTGATGGAGCAGTAGCAGAGGTCCAGAAAAGCCAGGTTGGCCAAGAAGAAGTACATGGGAGAGTTCAGCTGAGGTTCTTTCTGGATGGTCAGGATGATGAAAAAGTTTCCTGGCAGGATCACACAATAAAAGAGGAGAAAGAGGAGAAAGAGGGCAAATTGGATTTCTCTGGTCTGGGAGAGGCCCAGCAGGATAAGATCTTCCACCATGGATTGGTTTCTTTGGAGCATCTTATATTGGCCTGTTTCTGTATGTGATGCACAGAAAGGAGAAGAAAGAGAATGATTGCAGATCATGTTATAATACCTATTTGTCAATCAGATGATAAGGGAAGAGCCAGAGAGCCAGAAAGACAGGTTTCATGTGGCATATAGCCTGTAATATGCTGTAGCCATGTTGCATTAACTCACAACAGCCAACAGTTACATTTTCTGGAATTTTGCAAGCCAATTGAGAGCATAGCTGAGCTGCTGTGCCAATCACCTGTACCACATATGATGGCACAGTGTAGGGTGGCAACAATGGAAATGGGAGAGCTGATTCTTAACCATTTAGCAGAACAACACTGCATGCCCCCAAGTGAATCTCCTCCACTTCTTCTCATGTTGTCAAAGAATTGTGCAGCAATTCTTGGTGAAGTTGTAGACACTTTTAATCTAGGTAGAATCCTTTGCATTTGCAAATTAAACTACCACCATCATTTTGATGACTGCAAATCAAATCAAATGGTCATGCAATTAATTGCTTTTTGACATTCTTGATTGGAACCACCGAAAAAAGATTATGACCATTTCAAATTTATAGTAAAACTTAGATTTTATGACCAGCCCTTAACAGAACAAGAATTACCTAATAGCCACTTTTAACTATGTTGATGGATCAGGGAGTAAAAAGATTCAGCAATAGCCTTGTATGATTTTTCAGATAGCATATTAATTAATTAAGATGAATGCTGTTTCTCCAAGAAGAGTGGTGCGGTAGGCTAGAGGTGGAGCTCTTGCTTCATAATCAGGAGGCTGTGAGTTTGATCCTAGGTAGAGGCAGATATTTCTCTTTCTGTGCACAATGAGAATATATCTACTGAACAAAACTCTGCATTGTTAACAGGAAGGGCATCTGGACACCAAACACTCAGCTCCATTCAGTTGCCCAGACTCCACCCTGCAAGGGATTATGGAGTCATTAAAAGGAGATGAATGCCATTTCCCTAAGCAGTTCCCTTTCTTTTTTTCTTTTTGTAAACTTTTTAAAATTTTATTTAAAGTACATATAATTCATCTTCCATTTAACGGTGTGTCATCTGGGTACAAGTATCTTGTGCAATAACAATTAAAATGTACATCCATGTTCATTACTTTGATATTAATTCTCTATTCTTATCTTATTCTTATCTTATTAATCTATATAATATCTCTATTACTATAACACTCCTTGACATTAAACTTATTTTCTATGTTTCACTAATCTATTAGCTATTTGTAGTTTTCATATTTTTCCCTAGCCATCAATAAAATAGTTCCCATATCTCATAATATTCAGTTTGTTCCTTCTCGTTAATTGCAAGTGTTAATCTATTCATTTCTACACATTCTAATATTTTTCTAATCACATTGTCATCAGTAGGAATCTCTTCGCTTTTCCAATTTTGAGCAAATACAATTCTAGCAGCAGTTAATACATGAATCAGCAAACATGCATTCTCTTTACTGTAAGTTTGAGGTAAGATCCCCAACAAAAATATTTCAGCTTTTAAGTCAATATGCTGTTGTATCATCTTTTTTCAATCACGTATGTATTTTTGTCCAATATTTTTAGCTTCTACACATGTCCACCATATATGATAATATGACCTAGATTTGTTGGCATTTCCAACATTTAGCTGATTTATCTTGAAACATTCTTGCCAATCTTGCCGGTGCTAAATGCCATCTCTAAAACATCTTATATAAGTTTTCTTTATATGCAGTTGACATTGTTAACTTATCATTTTTATCCCACAGCTTCTGCCATTTATCTAATTCTATTGTATAACCGCATTTTTCTGCCCATGCTATCATTGCCTCCTTCACTTATCCTCTTCTAATCTAATGCCCAATAATTAATTATACATTTTTAAAAATCAATCTTTCTTCTGTTCCAGTTAGTATCTTATCCAGTTCTGTCAATTCTCTATAGAAACCATATAATTAGCAATTCCCTTTCTGGGAGAGGCCCAGCAGGACAAACTCTTCCACCATGGATTGATTGTTTGATCCTTAAACATTTAGCAGAACAACACTGCATGCCCCTGCCTGAGTGAATCATATGTTTTCTCCTCCACTACCTGCAATGTTCTCAAGGAATTGGGCAGCAATTTTCCTGATGAAGTCGGAGACATTGACAGAAACGTGTAGTTTTTTATATACATATAAATATATTTAGCAATTAAATGTACAGCAGCCTTTGTCATCCTCCAGAAAAAGAACAAAAGATAGTCAGGAACACAGGAGTGTCATGAGGTAAATCTAAAACCGTACAGGCAGTCCTCATCTTATAACAGTTCATATAGGGACTATACAATATTACAGTAGCATTGAAAAATGGGACTCATGACCATTCCTCACACTTATGACCATTGCAGCACCCCTCCCTCCATGGTCACATGATCAAAATTCAGGCACTTGACAACTGACTCATATTTATGACGGTTGCAGTGTCCTGGGGTCATGTGATCTCCTTTTGCAACTTTCTGACAAGCACAGTCAATAGGGAAGCCAGATTCACTTAACAACCATGTTACCAACTTAACAAGAGTGGTGATTCACTTAATGACTGTAGCAAGAAAGGTGGTAAAATGGAGCAAAACTCACTTAACAAATGTTTCACTAACAACAGAAATATTGGGCTCAGTTGTGGTTGTAAATTGAGGACTATCTGTATACAGAATATACAGAAGGAAAAAAAAGATGGGGGGAGGGGAAGGAAAACTTTATACTTTATAGCAACCAGTCATAGTGTAGATTGACTCATGCATGAGTCAACACTGTCTAAACAATCAACTAAAATTATGTATTCTGACCTACTGTACACGTTACTGTCCCAGTTACTAAATTCAGTATCCTAACAATATCCAACAAAGTTTGCTTCCTGTGGTCCAGTTGCAAATTTCAATAAGCTCTTAGGATGTTTTGATGCTGGGCCTACAAACTGGAGTTTCCCCCCAAAAAGGCAGTGGCAGGGATATCATTGCCAACGCTGAATCAAAAGCCAAGAGAGCAGTGGTGGGATTCAAAAATTTTTACTACCGGTTTTGTGGGTGTGGCACGGCTTGGTGGGCGTGGCTTGGTGGGCATGGTAGAGGAAGGATATTGTAAAATCCCCATTCCCTCCCCACTCCACTAACTTGCTTTCCAGCTCCGTTCTCCTGTGCAGGGCATCCAAAGAAGACCCAGTCAATCAGCTGGGACTCGGGAGGCAGAGAATAGATGGGGGCTGCACCAGTCAGGGGTGCTATTTGCTGGTTCTCTGAACTACTCAAAATTTCCACTACTGGTTCTCCAGAACTGGTCAGAACCTGCTGAATACCACCTCTGCAAGAGAGACCCATACCCTATCTTTCACTGTTTCTTCCTTTTTTCCTAGCAACCGTTTCCTCATCCAGCGAGTTAAGGGCACCTAAGTCTTGGCTAATCTCAAAAAGCAAGCAGGATTGAACCCAGTTGAAGAAGAGGTCACCAGGGCCCCAGGATTGTAGATTGGACCAGAAAGTTGGAAAAAACCTTCTGGAAAAAGATGTTTGCAAGCCACATCTTCATTGTTACCAAGCAGGCTAAAGATACTATATCCATATAGCTTAACTCAAAGGACAGAAATTTCTCCTTTATCTAATCCTTCACCAAATAAGATTCCAACAAGCAGCTTGCAAAATGAGGACCAATGCTAAACAGGGAAGACTTGCTTTTTTCCTCTGGCTGTCTGTTCCTACTAAGTATATCACCCCTCATTTTATTGTTTTCCATCAGCTCAAGGGAGACCCAAAACTTATTCATGCTAGTGCTGAATCTTGTCCACCTTGGGGTTATTGGATTGGGACAGTCATGAAAATATTTTTGAAGGGTTCACTGATGGCTTTCCCTTTTCATAGTCTAGGAGTCTCCCAAAAAGTAGTTTCACAAAGGGACAATGGGTTTTTTTCCGCTGAAATCTACTTCAAATCCTTGCTCAATCGCAATGATGATTGGTTAGCAGTGGGTACCTTAAATCTGCCACTTCCTCAATCTCGCTTGCATGTTGGTTGACATGGCAAATAATATGGGATGTTCCCCTCAAAAAGTGTCTCCATCATTTTTAAATTCTTTGAACTTGAAAGAATTCTAATATAATCAATATATCACCAGGAGCTCCAAGAATTCTGGAAATAAGGAAGTCTATACATTCCCCCCCCCCCCCAGTGTGGTTTTAGCCAGTAATTCCCAACCTGTCCCTTTTCTCTTACTCCTCTATAAGTAAGCAGGCTTATATTTTTAATTTTCAAGATTCAGGATTAAAATAATACATGATGATGATAATGATGATGACAAAAATAATCTGTCCCTTTAAAATACATATTGATCCAACCAATACAAGCATCCCTGTAATCTCAGAAGAATTCTTGCCTTCTCACTCATGTACCAATAATGAGTATAATTGGGATCTATTCCATATTGACTTTCATACTGGGGCTGTGGATCATCTCTTCTTCATTATGAAGGTCTTTTAAGTTATATTTTGGTTCACAGGTTTCCACTTCTAGGACATAAGCAAACTCTCATTTTGAAATTTTCTCTATCATACCTCTCATTTTGATTTTCTCTAAAGCAGTTGACATTTCTTACAGCAGATACTGTAAAGAACACTCTCCAGATGTGTTCAAAAGCTGTGCTGGTGAAGATTGATGGGAGCAAAACCCATAACCTCTGGAAGCCACGATGGTTTTTCAGAGGCAGAGGAAGGACTCTACAACTATGGTTACCATGTGGCATCCAACAAGACTGCAGATGTTTAGCGAAATGGAAGAATAAGAAAGGAAATGAGAGAGAATAAAATAATGTTTTTTAAAAAAGAAAAGGCTCATATTGCAGTCTTTGATGGCACTTGGTGGTCCCATGTCATGCTAAGTCACCATAAGATAAAGGTACACATTCAGTGGTGCCCCTGGGATTAAGTTCACCCCAACACTCAGGAAGCTTGTTAAAAAGTTAGTGAGCCAAAA